CCAAACGCATGTATATTTATATACACACACACACTTTGCTGGCGTTATACAGAGCCTCTTTTCCATGAAAGGAATTTCTTAGTGTCTGTCCGAGGTCATAACACAGACCTGGACGCATGTTATCACAGCAGCTGAACTGTGAAAGTACAGACTGTCATCAGCCAGTGGTGACACAAGTAGGTTTGTCAGATAGAAAAGCAGCAGGTGGAGCCATAGAGATAATGTGTAGCCTTCTTTCCATTGCCATGTGCACGCCAGACATCCATCCTCAAGCACCGAGAAATTATGCACTGTGAAAAGAGAATTTTGAAATGGCCTTAACCCTGCAAAATATCCCAATGATTCCATCAAGCACATTACATGTCAAGCTGGTCATTTTGGTATCCAAAGAAACCAAATATATCAGGGTGAATATTTAGAACATTTATTAAAACGTGGATCTTTGGTTTGAATATTTATTCAGATTTCACAAGTGTATATTTGTAATCGCACATTGCTGTTTTGCAACTGATCTGGTTGCCTTTATTAATATCCATTAGTGTAATTGTTCTTTTGTATGCTTTTGTACAGTCATAGTCTAATGTAATATAATCACTGTTGTAAGGCTTTATCTTGTGAGTATAAGTTACACTAAGTGGTCATTGTGTGCTCAAGTGAAATAATGATTTCAGATGTAAAGAAAGATAGAATACATCACAAGATGCTTAGAAGTGATCAATGCTTGCTTAAATTAAAGTGAAAAAGAAGTAGTGTGACACTTGACCTTAAAAGGCATTATAATGTTTAATGTGTTTTTATTATTGTTGCAAAGCACTACAAATATATATGAGTGTACTGTATTAAACTATGATTAAATATTGATATCGGCAGATTGTAGCACATTATGCCTTATAGATGTCTAAAGTGCTCCTTCCTTTTGCTATCCCGTTCAGTGAAACCCGCTGGGGGTGAACTTGGAGAATTATAGGCTTAACAAGTTGTCGGGGACCATTTCAATGCAATTATTTTTGGTCTCAGTGTGTGAGGCGAGTCATCTCGATGGTATGGTGAATCCTTTGTGGTCAGGGATGCCATTTGAAGGGGAAACCCTGGATGATTCAGGGACCCCAGAGTTGGACTAGGGCTCTCGAACATGCCACAGGTCAGAGAGTCGTCACTGAGCTATGGTCAGGTGGCCCTACATTTCTAGTTTATGACCAGGCTCAGCTAGTAGTCCGTCTTGCAGGTTCAGCTCATGAGCCTCTAAAAGATAGTTAAGATGTTTTGAAGTGGGCCGGTATGAAGTACTTATTCATAGCCAGTCTACTATCTACTGTAGATGGCAGTAGGCATGCAAAACATATTTAAGTTGCATACAAAAATGCCCTCCAAATACACACAATATATGTTGGAATTTTTGCAATATTTTGACAATGTTTTACAGTTTTACTTTGATGCGAGACAGCTATCCAGAATACTATCTCTGCGACGGCAAGCTAAAGAGGATACTGATGCTCTCGCCAAAGCCCCCAGACAAAAATAACTGTTTTTTTTAATGGTGTCTGGTGGCTTTGGTGAGAGAATAGATATGACGGCTTCAGTTCCACATTATAAAAGACTGCAAGGTGAAACTATCCTAAATATATCGTACATGTAAATATGTTTTGTAGGCCTACAGTACATTGCTTGGTTTCTGTGCTAGAACAACTATACTACACATTTGAACTATCCCTTTAAGGTATTTAAAGTTTGCAATCCCATGCAATGAATCACATTTAGGCCACAGTAACCATACTGTATGAGTGAATATAAATGATGAATGTCATTGTGTGATACTTTTGTTGGTATCGATGTAGTGACATAATGGAAGCCAACTCTATTTCTGGAAAGTGTGTACGTTGCTAAGTGCAGTAAAAAAAGTCTCAAATATGGAAATACATTGCAACTCTTTGAAAAATGTGTACTTTAAGGAGTAACTTTACTGTATTTTCCTGTACTGAACTTAGCCTACAGCACCACTTTCACCACAACAGAAGCCATTAACCTGATTCACAGTCTATTATTGCACTATTGGCTAAAGCTTGTTGCATTCATGTTGTTCGGGTCATTGCACTGGAGTGATATTGGATTACTGGTCAGTCTGTGACACTAGAATAAGCTTTATGTATTGTCTGTGTCTTCCTGCTGAGTAACTTTATATGTTGTGAGAGGGCGAGGCTGCGTCATTCTCATTCCTAAACAGTGCTTTTATACCACGATGGCTCTCATTTGACCATGTAACCTTTTATGACTTTGGATTTCAGAGATTGTCCAACAGGGTACAGTTCTTTGTCCCACCGGAGCAGCTCTACTTCTCAGTCCTCTCGTCTTGGGCTGAAGGCAGCTGAAGCTACAGTTACCAACGATCACCTTTCTAGGTTAACGTGGAATAAGGCGGGATGGGCCGTGGCTAGCTAGCACCCTAGCATTCTAATTTCAGTAGATAGCTCATATTCTAGAGTGGTTAACGTTTTTTTCTACATAAAATATGTCAGTAAATACCCCACCTGTGAATGTCTGTGTGAAAAAAACCCAGTTGCTAACAAGAGACTGCAGTGACATTAAGCCTTATTTAGCTTAGCGGTGTTGATGTGAAGTCTGTAACCGTAATGTAGTTTGTTTATAGCCTAACGTTAGCTTTATACTTATGGCAATGGCATTTAAACTTCAGCAATAATAAAGGTGGTGGTATGAGGTACTATAATCCAAAATCCAATGGAAAAATCCCACTGCCCTATTAAGGCCCTGACACACCAAGCAGTCACCAGAGAACTCGCCGACGCTGACGCCGACTGTTGCGTCGGCGTGTTCTCCTGCGTCTTGGCCATGTGTCGCACTGGAACACACGCATAGACTTCAGCCAAGCACGTACGAACTGCGCATGCGTGAGTGGCAATAACTCTCCTTACCAGCAGGCGGCGGTAGTGTGTATTCGTCATTCAAAAGAGGCAACAACCGGAAGACAGAGAACGTGATACACCGAGAGAAGAAGAACAGACTGCGTGATATAAACAAACAACAAATAGCGTATGCGTTCTGTTTTCACTCTCGTCCATCGAAAACATGTTTCGTGCGGTACTGGAGCTATCAGCGATTGGAGTGTTGTTTGTGGAAGACATTCTCAATCAACCGTTTCGCTTCTCATGCACTGATTCGCTAGCTGAACAGCCAATCAGAGTGATTTCTTTGTCCGATTGCCTGTGGCCGACGCAACGCACGGCCATGAAAGGCATGGGGCGTGTCACGGCCGACGGTGCGGGACACACCAAATTGAGTTTGGGCGACAGGGCACGCTTCGTCGTCCAACTAACGAAAACGGCCAATTTCGGCCTGGTGTGTCCGGGCCTTTATTGAAAGGTTTGGTGACCACCAACAGATTCAACTTGGTTGTTCAGAAACCTATGGGTGACAGTACATATTTTATACAGTCTTAGATAAAGGCTATTAACTGTTTACTGATTTTTGTCGAGACATGTCTCTGTTCCGTTTAAAGCTTTGTTTTACGCCAAATCTAGGTGGGGTGGCCCTTTTAAATTCTTGGATATCTAAGAGTTGCAGTGCTGTATGTCAAGCTCAGACAAACAAAGTTGTATTCATTTTGAAATGCTAAGTTAATGTAAAACTCTTAGGAATCAGTGATCTCCTTTTTTTATTCAATATATTTCCACAGAATGTACTGTGCTCTCTGCAGTTGCACAGTGTCCTCTTTCCTTCTCACCTTAGCTGGTAAATAGGCAGTGGGGATACGAGTGTTGGACCTGACAGCTGAGGAGCTGTCTGTACTGGGAACAGTGCAGGGGACAGGCTATAGGTCAGGTTTTTCCGGTGCTGACAGATGGAGGCCAGTATATAGGCGCCGGCGCTTTGTCACCCTGCCCACTCCAGATATCACTGGACTGTGCCGTGTAACAGTTTGAGGTCAATGTGCGCACTCAGACACGTCTCAATAAGCGTCAGTCATTCGTGAATATGAACTTCCGTTTCCATGTGTATCTGTGTCAGTTTAACCCTTTTTAATACTCAGCAACAACACGTGCAGTTGGTTTCCTGTCCCACAATGCCCTTCTCCACTGTATAAACAGTTCTAAGGTGTCAGGGGAATCACCTGTTTCCTGTTTTCTTCTGTTGTCTTGTCCCTCACTTTGCACGGACAGTGGATCTATTTTGGGAACAGCAGGCTCTTGCGGACAAAAAAAAGATATTTTGCAACTTTTATTTTTGAAGTGTTTGATGTGAGGGTATTTAGTTTCAGATTCATAGAGCAATCTTTTTTCTTTTCACAAAAAATTATTTTGCATTTTAACATTTTGAATGGAATTAATGCATTATGCTTTCTAAAATAGCTTTTATTGATTAATTTTTTTCAGAAATTCTTGACCTTGGGAATTTGTGGCGTTTATGTAAAGTTCTGCTGACACATGAACAAATCAGTTGTGAGAAGTGTGTGGTATTTGACGAGGTTCAGAAATACACACAATGCTTGTGTCCGTACCAGAGGTCCAAGTGGTTAATAACGTTTTTGGTGCCTTGCACACGCTAGCACCTGTCATCCCAACTTCCTATAATACAACAATGTGAAAACCATATAACCCAAATACAGAATCTGAAAACAAAAATCCTCATTTTACGCCATATACTGTATCAACGGACGTTTACATCTACTGAAAATAGTGTACGAGTTCTTTATCCACAATCAGAGTTAGGATGTTCTTCTTCTCTGTCTTTATTGGCTGCAGGTTTTGTTTGTTTGTCTTACTTTTTACGGCGTCATATTTCAGTCCCGGATTCTTCGAATTCTGTCACCTGACTGAAGGGCTTTTTAAGTGTCTCAAATGTCACATAGCTTTCCCCTCCAGAATCTCCCCTTAACCCTCGTCAATCCCCAACTGCACACCAGAGCCCTCAGCTCTTATCACTGGCCACTCACTCCCTGACGTCCACGGGGGGCTGCGCTTTAGTTTGGAGGACAGTCATTTGCTATTCTTAAAACTCAACTCAACTCACAGTGCTGAGGGGAGAGATCTCTGTTCCCCTCTGCTCTTCTGTTGGTGTTCCTTAGCTGTTAATATGTTTTTTGCCGTCGTTTCCACCGAACCTGCGTGACAGTGAATGGAATGAGTGAAACCATTTTCTGCTTGTGAGGAGATCTACTGTTCAGTCATGAGCTCCAGCCTTGTCAACTCTTTGGCCAAAGTCTACGATCGGAATCCACTTCACGGTCAGAAGCCTGGTGGAAGGAAGCTCTCACTCAATGGATCAGACAAGGCCCAAGCGTCTCCATCACCACCTCCTTCGCCTCAGAATTCCGCCTTGCGCTGTGTGGAGAGCAGAATGGACTCTTTGAGCTCTCAGATGGAGCGCTTGCTCAACATGCAGCAGACCGTCCTGACCCGGCTGGACGGCTTGTCCCAGGACGTCAGGGGCATGGGTCAGGATCTGGCATCAATGCGTGGGGATGGCTGCGGGGAGAGACGTGAATCTGGGGTGGAGGCGGCCTGCCGAGAGCTGTGCGGGGCCATGGAGAGGGCCAGCGAGCGGATGGACAGTCAGGGATGCAGGCTGGATGGGGTGGAGAGGCTGGTGGAGGGCACCCAGCAGGTGATCAGCTACATTGGGGAGGTTGTGAAGAGCTCCAGGCTGGTGGAGCTGCTGTTTAAACAGCCTGGGAAGAAGGCGATGAAGAAGGTGAGAGATTTAACATTAGAAGTGAGGTTTTCCTGCCTCAAAGTCAAATTATTTTCCATCATCTCAAACACTTTGTGGCATCGCATTGTTCTAATTGTGCTTCTATTACTGTGTGTTGTGTCACGACAGTCAACATAGTGAGAGGTCTAATTGCATTGCGGTCATGGCGTCGGATGGATTATGTGCTGTCCAAAAGGTTCCAAATCCTCTTGATGGAATATGTGACCCGTTCATAGTCACATAATAAATAGTTGGCTCTAAGTCAACTTCATTGCCAATCTTCTGTGTTTGAGACACAGACAGGGAGATCTGTTTCTCACAATCCAGAGAAATACAAGTTAAAATATCTAAAAATACCTACATAATCAAACATAGACACATACAGTATATACAAATTCCCACTTTAAGAGGCATCAATAAAACATACAAATATAAAGGAACAGCAGTCAATATATACAAAATAACAGTCACTAAGAAACGGATGAAGATGAATATATTACAGTAAAGTATATCTACACTAATGAAAATGATTCTCCATAGCAGCATAGTTTGTGTCTGTGTTTGTACTACCTATCTTTTAACAGTTTTATCTATTACTTCCATGCATTTAAAGCTTCTTGTCATTCTATATACCTCATGATATTGCTCTTTGTATCTATCTTTAGCTCTGCAGTAATTCGACATGTTGTCCTCTGTAATGTAAAGTATGTTTTCTTCGTTGAGTGATTGTCATTTGCTTCTGGTGTGTAAATGATTAGATCCAGACTGGTTATCTTATCCATGTCTTTATCAGCAGTGTGTTTGACTGCAGGCTCAGCTTACCTTCGGTCTGCAGTACATAATGTTTTTACTTTTATTAAATCTTTGTAATATTCATATTGTGCCAAGCACTGTTGCACAGCTTTTACTACCCTGTCTTCAAACAAATATTTGTGTGATTTCTGCAGTGGTAGAATGCAAGAGAGTTCATTTACTTAATTTTTAGGGTACTTGTACTTCACCTTTTTTCATTTTATGCTACCAACTAAACTTTGAAAGCCAATATTGTACTTTTTCCTCCATTACATTAATTTGACAGTTTTTTTACAGTTTTATATTTTTAGCTAATACAAAATATAAATCAACAAATAAATAAACATATAGAAAGTAATTATAGGTTAATATATTGAGCAGCAGTTTATGAACGTATTAAACTGAACTCCGATTCTAACTGCTGCAATGAAGACATGCATCAAAATCATAATCCAGTTTCTTTAATATGTATGATTATGAAATGGGCTAGTACTTTGACTTTTGATACTATAAGTATATTTTGATCCCAATTATTTTGTATTTTACTTTTTGTACTTCTTTCTATAATTAAGTATTGCTGCTTTTACTCAAGTGAACATTCTGAGTACTTGTTCCACCACTGTTTAAATGATTCCATAATTGTGCCACTTCAGAGGTTGTTTTTAGGAGTTAGTATGTGGTTAAGCATGATTTATTAAACAGTAAGACATATTAATAAAAGAGAAACCACAGCATGGATCATCTGAAGTGTTCCTGATTGAACATAAATGTGTATTAATAGTGCATTTGTTTATTAAGCACTCTTTGTGTGGGAAAGTGAAGGAAATATATCCCAGTGGTGTACAGTATGCGACACATGTGACCTTTCCTCTTTGTCCTGGAGGAGGCCTCTGTGCCACAACACATTACACCTGAGTTACAGGGGCAACTGTAGCAACAGGGACAAACACTTTGTGCTTACTATGCAAATATAAACACGTATATGACCACGCTGTTCCCTTCAGGAATCGAACTCGGAATCTTTGACATGTAAATAAGAAATGCTGCATATATAAGAGCACACGCCAGGGTTTAAACTTTAAACCTGGCTCAAGTTGTGTCCAAATTTTTGTCACTTAATCGATTCCATTGTTTAATCTTTATTTCTCCCTTTTACCACAAGGCAAAGGATGACAAGGAAAAAGCCAAACTGAGCCTGAAGAGTTCGAAGGCCCAGAAGAAGAGGAGACCTGCCGATCTGTCAGGTAGCCTCAAACAGGAAATAACTGCACCTCAAATCAAGAGTTTATATTGAGACATGCTTTTGTCCACTATCAGCTGAAATCTATGGACTAGCTCAACATATATTGTATTTTGAAGGCTAACATTGATATTTTGGTGTTTTAAAATATGATGATTTATGTTTTTTCTTTTACAAAAACACATGTTTTAAAGAAATACTTCACCCAAAAACATTCTTTCTCTGGCTTGCGACCAAGTTGAAGGAAGAACCAAAATGTAAAAACGTTTTTTGATGGAATCAAACACGACAGGACACATTTAACCTGGATTTAACTGATTGTTTGCAAGTTGTAAACAAATGTTTCAATATAGTATTTTGATTCTCTGTTCCTCGGAGAGGGCTGGGAGGAATAAAACAATTTTTAAAGAATTCAAGGTAACATGGGGTGACTAATTGATATGCAGATGGATGATGCGTTCACTTAAAGGGGACCTATCATGCAAAACGCACTTGTGTATGTCTTTTATACATGAATATGTGTCCCCGGTGTTCCAGGGAACTCACCAAGTGTCAGAAAACACAACCCTCTCTATTTTCCTCCATACCTAAATCTCTTAAAAAGGCGCTGCAACGGATCTGATACAGACTGATCCAGATTTGAACACTTCTATGACGTCACAGAAGTGGCGCTACGGCTATTGGGCCAACTCCACCAATCAGGAGGAGACAGCCACGGACATTGCCGTTCGAAAGCGCTGGAGACGCTGTAGTACATATGCCAGGCCTGTAGATGGTGCTGTTCTCACAGAATCAGCCCATGACAAGACAGTGTTAAATTGAGCGAAATGAGGAATGGCTAAAATGCATGATCTGTTTGGTATTTTGAAAAATAAAAAGTATAAATATGCCTTATATAGGTATGGTCCTACACTATACTATTCAA